TGCATGGGGTTGTTGTGACCCAAGTGCAGAAACATCATACAACTGACCTCGGCCCATTGATCCAGCCTGTCCAGGTCCCTCTGGAAAGGGCCCTCCCTTTGAACATCCAGCCCAATCAAGGTGCCAAGAGGAACTGTCCTGCAGTACCAGCTATTTCTCAAGCAGCTCAAACTCCTGCCTATGCTGCTGATATTTCTTCTTCATCTGGGGTGTAAGAGCAGACAGGGCAGGAGGTGGGGAACAGGGAGAGGTATTCTTGACAGCAAGCAGGTTAACTGTACCTAAAACTCAAAACTAGCTAGGAGAAATCAGAAGCTTTCACATTCTATATCTAGAGTCAGTTAAATTGAAACAAAGAAGCCTGGTCCATTGCCCCAGCTGGTATAGGATTGGCATTTATTGATTATCGGTTCTCAGTAGACACAAACACTAACACACGTTCAGTCATGTTCTACATGAAAGCCTGAAGTCATCTGACGAGACCTTCTCATTCTATGGTGGGAAGTGCTTGAATCTGCTTTCCCCAACCTGGCCTATTGCATCTATTTTAGCTTCTATGAAACCTCAGTGACAAAGGCACAACTGCAATCAAAATGTAATCAGAAAGAGCTCTGATCTAGCAAAGACCAGAAGGCTTTGCAGAAACTCACACTTTTTCTAACAGATTTGAGGCATCATCTGCCTACCACTGACTTTTACCAAAAATGGCTCAGGATCACTGAAGAAGCATTGGGAGAATGCCTGAACCCAGGTTGAAGTCTTCCTCAGTTCGGTCCCTTTCCTGCCCAGAAGTCATCTGGACAGAATCAAAGGACTTTGGCTCATGGGTCTGGATTTTTCTTGCATCTGGCAATCCCAGACAGATGTGCACCTCACAGTTCTTCGGCACGCATGCAGAGTCTGCAGCGTATCGGCTATCCAGATGAAAGAGTAAATCCACTGCTCACTGGAGTCACTGAACACTACGTGTAAATGCTGTTCAGAAAACTCCAGACAAACATCGCAAGGCAGTCCCACAAAGGGCCTACAACTGCACCTTCCCAGCCACAAGTGGTGCTTACCTGAAGTCTGAAGAGGATCCCCTGACTCATGCATTGCCATGGACTTTCTATCATCCTTACTTTCTGCTCACTCTTGACCATTTCAGAAAAGGCCTTAAGGTCTTTATTAGAAGTATTCAATGCTAAAATATTAAAAGTATCTGGAATCCTCCAAAACACATTCTTAGACTCATTTACTACTACACACAAAATTTAGGTGGCATCAAGAAAGGACGCGCACTGAGATACTACGAGGGATCTTGAAGCCTCGTTTTTAAAGCAAAATCAGCACTGAGTTTCCGCATGACTTCTGCGTGACTCAGCCCCTGCTGCTCTCTTTTAGCAAGTCTGTAGTTGTCCTTCACGAACTCGGCAAAGGGCGTCAGCTGTGTCCTCACAGGAGTGCCATCCTTCCGCGTGCGCCGACTCAGGGCCAGCTGCCCCCCGCAGAAAGCGCACACGAAGCGCTCTGTGTCCAGAGACTTGGAGTGACGTCCAACCCTGCAGTGGAAGAAGAAGCGCTCTGGTTTCACACCTGCAGGAGACAGGACCTGTGGGAAAGGGCTCCTTGCTTTGCTGCCAGGCTACGTAAGTCACATTTTTAAGCTAGCATTTTCACAGAACCACAGAATCCCAGAACGTTAGGGATTGGAAGGGACCTCCAAAGCTCATCCAGTCCAATCCCCCTGCCGGAGCAGGAACACCCAGATGAGGTTACACAGGAAGGCGTCCAGGCGGGTTTTGAATGTCTGCAGAGAAGGAGACTCCACAACCTCTCTGGGCAGCCTGGGCCAGGGCTCTGTCACCCTCACTGAGAAGAAGTTTCTTCTCCAATTGAAGTGGAACCTCCTGTGTTCCAGTTTGTGTCCGTTACCCCTTGTCCTATCATTGTTTGTCACTGAGCAGAGCCTGGCTCCATCCTCGTGACACTCACCCTCTAAATATTTCTAAACATGAATGAGGTCTCCCCTCAGTCTCCTCTTCTGCAAACTAAAGAGACCCAGCTCCCTCAGCCGCTCCTCATCAGGGAGATGCTCCACTCCCTCCATCATCTTTCTGGCTCTGCTGGATCTTTCAAGCAGTTCCTGTCCTTCTTGAACTGAGGGGTCCAGAACTGGACACAATATTCCAGATGTGGTCTCACCAGGGCAGAGCAGAGGGGCAGGAGAACCTCTCTGACCTACAACCACCCCCCTCCTGATACACCCCAGGATGCCACTGACCTTCCTGGCCACAAGGGCACAAGAATATCCCAATTGCTTCACAGTTTAAGAGACCCACGACACAGCCAAGTTAGAGACCAAAGTTAATAAATAGTGATGTGAAAGATGAAAACGTTACTCACGTAGCTTTGCACAGAACACACTCGTAGATGAATTTGTAATTAATCTCATAGCTGTGGCATCGCGTTACTACTGGCAGCTCCGGATGAATCACAGCAGATTTCTTGGCATAGAATCTCCAGAATCTTCCATGTCCATCACGAACACCATTGATCAGCCAGGTGGCTGCATGGCAGGCCTCGTGAATTAGCGTGTCTCGAAGGCGTTCTTGGGGTAAGGCAAAACACCATTAAGATCAGTGAGGTACGAGGAAGTACAGACTTTCATCCTCAGTCACTACTTCACACCTTGGACACTCATTTTATTCAGTGCCAGAGGTTTTTTTGGAGGTTGGAGTTACCGATGTTTTTGATAAGATAAAATGCTCCAAAACAAGGGGATTTTCGGTTTTGTGATTAGTAACTAGGATGCAGAATTAGGGCTGTTTGTTTGGAGTTTTTTGATGTGTTAGGGGTTTTTTTTATGAGACCTGAAACACCGTGATTTTAGACCAAGACTCATTGATTGCTTTTGCATTGGTGTTTTCCACCCAGAAACAACTAGAGTGGAGCACTGAATTTTCTCCACAATTAGAACAGAACATCTCAGTCGGAGGGGACCTACAATACTCATCTAGTCCAACTGCCTGAGCAAAAGTTAAAGCCTGTTGTTAAGGGCACTGTCCAAATGCCTTTTAAACACAGACAGGCTTGGGGCATTGACCACCTCTCTAGGAAGCCTGTTCCAGTGCTTGACCACCCTCTTGGTAAAAAAGTGCTGCTTAATGCCCAGTCTGAACTTCCCCTGGTGCAGCTTTGAACCATTCCCACAGGTCCTATCACTGGCTACCAAGGAGAAGAGCTCAGCACCTCCCTCTCCATTTGTCCTCCTCAGAAGCAGCAAGGTCACTGCTCAACCTCCTTTTCCCTGAACAAGACAAACCCGAAGTCCTCAGCTGCTCCTCACAGGACACACCTTCCAGCCCTGTCACCAGCTTTGTTGCCCTCCTCCAGACACATTCAAGGACCTTCACGTCCTTCTTAAATTGTGTGGCCCACAACTGCACGCAGTATCCAAGGCGAGGCCACATCAAAGCTGGATACAGCAGGATGGTCACCTCTCTTGACCAGCTGGTCCTGCTGTATGTGGAGCACCCCAGGACGTGGTTTGCCCTCTCAGCACCTGGGTACAGTGCTGACTCCTGTTGAGTCTGCTGTCAACCAGCACTCCCAGATCCCTTTCTGGACGGCTGCTCACCAGCCACTCCTCTCCCAGTTTATACTTGCCCCAGGTGCAGAATGCAGCATTTGGACTTTGTAGAATCAAAGAACCGTTATGGTTGGAAAAGACCTTTATAAAGATTATAAAGTCCAATCATCATTTAACTCTACCATGCCCACTTCTAAACGATGTCCCCGAGTACCATACCCAGATGACTTTTAAATGCATCCAGGGATGGTGATTCTACCACTTCCCTAGGCAGCCTGTTCCAGTCTCTGGTAGCTCTTTCAGTGCAGAAGTTTTTCCTGATGCCCAACCTAAACGTCCCCTGGTGTAGCTGGGACAGAATGCCTTGCAGAGGGATCTGCATAGATCGGAGCATTTTGGGATGATAAATGGGACGAAATTTAACAGTATAAACAAAACACTGCAGTTAGCACGAATACATCTCTGTTCTCACATTTTGTAAGCTTGCCCAGCCTCTTAAAGGGCTGTGAGGACAAGTACTACCATTAATTGATTTATTTATTCACAATATGAAATTTCAAAGCAGGATCCAGCTCCAGATCTCTTAAGCCTCAGATTCATGTTTTTATCTCTAGAATTCGCTTTCTCAAAGAGGAATCAACTTATAATTTCTTCTACCTACCTGCAGAGTCACAGACTTTCTCAGAAAGCTCTATGCGAGCGTAACGCTTTGCTTCAGGACCTTCTGTCTGCCCAGTCACACAATATCCTGCTGTTTTTCTCATTTTCTTGTTCCAGATTATTACCATTTTCTCTGGTAACTGAAAAACAAAACAGTACATGTAACCTTCCCTCTCTTATCTTCTTCTGGCCCTCTGGCTTCCCCTCATATTTACTGCAAAGCCAGTACAGGATGTCTCTGTCAGTGCCCTTAACACAGTTGTCACTTCAGATACAAACCCACCCTCCATGGCTTCTTATTCCCATCATTAGTTTTTCTGTAACCAACACTGGGAGTTTCACAACGCAGGATGAGACCAAAAGTCCCTTAGTTCCTGTTCTGCCTCCAACAGTGGCTAACACATGCTGCTTAAGACGAAGAACAAAGACAGGTCAGGCATAGAACACAATTTCCTTTTCAAATGAAGTACTTCTCCAAACTGCTGGTCATTTGCAAGACAACATCTCACTGAGCAACAGGCGGTTCCTTTGCATTAAACAGCCTTTAAAGTTATTTTCTGGTGTTCTGAGGAGAGTGTGTGCGTGCTGTGTACATGTTTAAGTATGCATATGCATTGTTAGCATCCACAACAGTCTATGATCAGATGCTCTGCAGTTTAATTAATTTACAGGTCAAGTACCATCTGCTTTGGTTGTTCTGAACCTGCAACTTGCCATTTTAATTTGATGCACCTTCACACCGTGAGAGGGTGAATAATTGCCCCTTGTTTATCCTCTGTGCTGCTCCTGGTTTTATAAGCCGCACCGTAACTATCTTGGTTAGCTCTGTTGTTCCACTAATAGTTTTCTGCCATCTACACTAAGTAATGAGCTGAAGTAAATGGCCCAACAGCAGTAAGTGCCAGCACAAGTACAGGGCTGAAGCACTGGGGAGCGAGGTATTTTGCTTTCAGCAACAGTGAGCCTGTTCAGCTCAGCTTTATGTGAAATCGTGAGTCCAGCCTGTCCTTGGTCAGCTCAACAATATATTCTCAGCTGCACAGAAACATCTTCATTCCTGAAGGAAATTCTATTGGAATTACTGAGGGCAGCATCCTTCCTTTCAAGGAAGTCTCTCACCAGAGGAAGGTCTACGGTACCCCAGAAGATGTAAAGGTCAAGACGGCGGTTCTCCAAAATTGAGCCTTCAATTTGAAACGCAACTTAGAACTTCAAGTTAACCCAAAGCTCCTACTCAAAGGGTAAGCAGCTTTTTAATTCCAGATGGTAGACATGAACATACAATAGGCACAAAGACTGCATGTAGCACGACTATACTTGGTTGGCAAGGCCTGTTGCCTCCTGCAAAGTGCTTTCATCCAGCAACTCCTCGCTCCCCAACACTCCTGCCCCTTGCCTTTTGTCAGCTGTGCTACAACGAGCTATTGGGCTATGGCAACGCTGCAGAGTTCACTGGTACATGTTCCTTCAGTAAAAGGGGAATGAGCAAAGATGAAACCGACCCAAGGCCCCTCATGTAGCAGTTTCTTTCATCGAGGGCTCTTGGACACCATCCAGACCGCTCACTTAAGGCCGGTGCACCATTACAGCTGGGAAAGGAAGCCAAGCTGTGAACTGCTGCATGACAGTGGGGATAAACCCCTTTCAAAGACACTGCTCGAGCTAATTCAAACATCAGCCATTGATATACGAAGAGGATAAAGAGCAATCACATCAGAAAGTGAGGAGCAACACATTAACCAGAATTGTAGTTTTTGGTTTGAAGCCAACCTTCTGCTCAAAGATGGTGGTATTATACAGCCAGTAGAGTTTCTGTGCCAGCTCCTCTTTATTTTTCTTGAAATACTTCACATAGTGGGAAGCCGGATTTGAGAGATCTTGCAGGAAACAACCAGGCACTGAGCACACTCTGAGCCTGCAAGAAAAGCCATGAGGCAGTTTACCGAAGTAAAGAGCTATCACAACGAAAAGCCAGTTTATAGCCATTTACAGCCAACAGAGATGGCTGGCATGCTGCCACTGACTCCTTTCACTAGCTTGCCCTCACAAAGCCAGTTCGGCACTCGCGCTGTCATCTTACCTCCTCAGGGGCACGAAGGGCAGCGCTGTTGCAATCGTTCTCCAGGTACTTCATCCATTCACAAAACTAGATTATGAGGACTCCCAAGTAGGAAGAGGGTGGCTCAGATCTTTGTGACACAAGCCCAAATTTGATCAATATGTGAACAGCCCCTAACACAACCACCCACAATAAAGGTATCTTTTCAGACAAAGACATCCTGGGAATCCTCAAGGAATTCGTTCAGGAGAAGCAGGTATTCCACTAGGATGGCCAACTCAAATACTGCAACATTCTGACACAGCATCGGCTTTGAAGACATAATTTAAAGGTTTTTGTATTGCTATACACAGTTATAAAATGACTAAAGGAAACACCACAAGGCTTAAAGGCAGAGTAAAAGCAGCTGTTAGAAATGGAAACTGTTTTTCTGAAAAACTTAAGCTGCATCCACATACGGAAAAAGAAACATGAATTCTACAAGCTATAAGGGTACAGGTCAAAAACACCAAGAGAATCTTGTTAAAAGGCATGAATTACTAATAGAATCAGTTTTGATGTATTTTCAGAGGCAGGCAGTTGGATATATAGAATTTGTAGGGCCAGTGCACGTTAGAAGTATGCTATGCCAAGACGAGGAATAGCAAGAGAACAAACATTTATGAAGAAGGTTTTCCATTTATCAGTTTTATTTGTCATCCATTCCTCTCAGCAGATATTCGATTATATTCTCCCTGTCATACCCGAGACCAAAAGCTTTGATTTCCAGTGACTTAGCCATCAACAGCTACTGAATCGGTAGCAGAAGTTTCTAAGTATCAGAAAAATCAGGACGTGATCCTAGGTGAAATGCTTAGCATCTCTTTCACAGAATCCCAGACCGTTAGGGATTGGAAGGGACCTCCAAAGCTCATCCAGTCCAATCCCCCTGCCGGAGCAGGAACACCCAGATGAGGTTACACAGGAAGGCGTCCAGGCGGGTTTTGAATGTCTGCAGAGAAGGAGACTCCACAACCTCTCTGGGCAGCCTGGGCCAGGGCTCTGGCACCCTCACTGAGAAGAAGTTTCTTCTCCAATTGCAGTGGAACCTCCTGTGTTCCAGTTTGTGTCCGTTACCCCTTGTCCTATCATTGTTTGTCACCGAGAAGAGCCTGGCTCCATCCTCGTGACACTCACCCTTTAAATATTTATAAACATGAATGAGGTCTCCCCTCAGTCTCCTCTTCTGCAAACTAAAGAGCCCCAGCTCCCTCAGCCGCTCCTCAGAAGGGAGATGCTCCACTCCCTCCATCATCTTTGTAGCCCTACGCTGGACTCTCTCCAGCAGTTCCTGTCCTTCTTGAACTGAGGGCCCAGAACTGGACACAATATTCCAAATGCGGTCATCTCTCTGTCCATGTATAACAGTCCTAGAACGCAGTCATGGAGGAACACCTACCTTTCCCCTGTTTTTGCTGACTGTGAGCAACTGACCAATCCATTTCTAGGAGTACTTGCAGAAACCATTCTCCTGGAAGGTGTTTCTTGAAGTAAAATGGAGTTTATCCTCGGTGTCTTGACTCCCTCACCTTTCAATGGCTGGGCATCTTCACAGGATGGCTCGGTGG